AAGCGAAACTCGGATGTTAGAATTTAATTTTTTCTAGAATTTAATTTTTTTCTAGATGTGGCATTGATGGCATAGTCTGATATAACAAGTTTATATTGATTATTTTATTATTTTTCATAAGACTATTTTATTTTCAGTTTATTCCTATATTTATATATTTAGGGTATGTACAAGGTTTATAAAACATTTTTACAAATTAAAATCACCTATAGGCAGATTTTGGTCAATATCAAATACAATTCTTTAACACCGTGAGTGGTGTTAGCTTAAAGTTCTTAAACATTATACATTTCAAGTGTTATCGCATTCTTGTCGATATATATATATATATATAAATATACATATTATATTTTGATCACTTATTTGTATGTAATTAATGTGTAAGTTTTTAGAAGCTTTTTAAATCGGGCATAATTTTGTTCTGCTTTTATAACTGATGGTAACTTATTATAAATTGCACCACCCTCATACTCCAAACTTCTTTTGCCATAGTTAGTTCTAGGAGGGCGGGTCACCAAGTAACTAGCACGTCTTAAGTTAGCATTTCGTGTTTGTTGTTTGGTTAAAAATTTTATATTAGAATTAATTTCCCTATTTAATATTTTGCGTACTAGAATACAAGTGTAGTATGTGTACGTTTGTTTAATATTCATTAATTTTGTTTCCTCGTATATCCTTTCCGTAGGCGTCCGAAGTTTATAGTTAAATAAGTTTTTAATCAATCTATTCAGAGTTCTCTGGATAGGATCCAAATTACTCTTTGCTGCAGTACCCCAGACCTCAATGAGGTAGTCGACATGAGGCTTAACCAGAGAATTATAGATCAGATACCGCACTTTTTGTGGGAGACAATTTGTTATGTTTCGCAGTGCCCCTGTGAGCGGAGTTAGTTTAAGTTTAATTTTTTCTAGATGTGGCTTCCAAGTTAGGTTACTATCCAAAATAAGTCCGAGATATTTTTCTTTATGTTTTCGTTCAAGTATTTTTCCGTCTATTTTAAGTTCGAAATTATTATTTATTTTTTTATTTTTTGCTGCAAAAATAACATAATTTGTTTTTGTAATATTAATAGTTAAAAGATTTGATTGAAACCACTCATTTAACAGTTTAAGATCATTTTGAGCGTCAGCTATTAGAGCTCCGATCGAGTTTCCAAAGTAAAAGAGACTTGTGTCGTCTGCATAAAGGGAGATGTCACCTTTGAGACCCAAATCACTGATACTGTTAATATAAATGAGGAACATGAGGGGGCCTAATATTGATCCCTGGGGAACGCCAAAATTCAGGATACAGGAATTGCTTTCATATTCACCTATTTTTACTATTTGTTTTCGGTTCTCCATATATGATTTAAAAATTTCAAGTGCTTTGCCTGTAACACCGGTAAGTTTTAGTTTTTGTAATAATTTTTCATGACTAATGGTGTCAAAGGCTTTTTTAGATCGATAAATATACCTAAGGCAACTTGTTTTTGATCAATTTTATTTTTAATTTTGGTTACGAGGTCAATTGTGGCAGCGAGAGTATTTGATTGAGCTCTAAAGCCATATTGTTTTCGGTAAAAGAAACCTTTTGAATTAAGGAATGACTCTAATTGGTTATAAAGAATCTTCTCAAAGACCTTAGAAAGCACTGGGAGAACTGATATAGGGCGATAATTGCACGGGTCAAGCTTACTTCCGGCTTTATGAATTGGTACAACTTTTGCAACCTTTAACTCGTTGGGAAAAATACCTCGTGCCAAATGATAGTTAATGCAGACTGTTAGTTCCGTGGCAATAATGTCTTTTACGCATTTAATTGATTTTGTACTAATACCATCAATGCCAGATGCAGTGTTACAGTCCAAATTTTTAATTATGGTAATAACTTCTTTCGTGGTTACTGGTTTCAGAAATCGCAATTCTGTTCTATCAGTTAGACTACACTCTTCTAAAATCTGAGGTACTTTTGATTTTTTAGAAATCATATTTGCTAGGGTTGAGCCAATAGTCGAAAAATATGAGTTAAAACTTTCACATATTTCTTTTTTGTCCGTAATAGTACCAGCTGCCGTTTCAAGTTTGTCTGGTCCAGGTCTGTCATGCACTTTGTTTTTAGCCAAGTCATTTATAAGTCTCCACATTTTTCGTGGTTTACTAGAGTTTTCTTCAAACCTCTTCAGATAATATTCACTTTTCGCTTTTCTTATATTGTGTGATACTCTTGCTTTAATATGTTCGTACTCTGCTTTTAATTTCGTGTCCACCGCATTTGTTTTATATTTTTGCCATAATATGTTCTTGCTATTTATCTCTTCTAATAGTTCTTTTTAATCCAGTCTTGCCGCGGAGGATTCAATGTTTTAAATTTTGTGATTCTGCACTTATTTAAACAGGATTTCAGTTTCCCTGCCAATTCATCATACTCAACGTCTTCATGATTTTTAGGATATTCATCCAGGCATCGATAAAGTTTGCTGAAGTCAACTGCGTTGTATTGCTGTTTTATGATAGTTGGTGGTTGGTATTGCTTTATCTCTAAAAGTATTTGTTTGTGGTCAGACATTGAAGATTCCGTAGTGATAAAATGAAAATTATTTTCACTTAAATTACAAGATACATGGTCTAACATTGTCCTGGTTGAGGTTGTTTCGCGGGTACAGTGTTTTGGGCTTATTTTGTTCAGGATTTTGTAGTTGTTCTCTTTTAAGGTGTTCTTATATTTGCGTGTCGCTGAGTCCGGGTTGAGTAAGTCCAGGTTGTAATCGCCAAAGACTATTGTTCGTTTCAGTTTGTGTAATTGTTGTGAATATATCTCGAGAAAGTTATCCATTTTTATTTTATTAGGCTTATAAATGGCACCGAGATTTAGAAAGAATTTTTTCACGTATACCCAGAGATAATGAGTATCATCGACGCATTTTTCTTCAACAAGGTGATGTTTGAGATTGTTGTACACAAATATTGACACTCCACCGCCCCTTTTATTTTCTCTATAATTAAAGTAATGGGTATAGGAGGGTATCTGGAGCATTTTTGCCTCATTTTCACTCTTAATCCAAGTTTCCGTTAGTATAATGATATGTATGGTTACTTGTAAAGAAGCGATAATACATCTAAGCTCATCTAATTTTCCAGGTTTGACAATACTGCGAGAGTTGGCATAGAAAAATTTCAGAGATTTTTTTGTAAAAATAATATCTGTGTAATTGTTGGTTATTTGGTAAGTTATTTTCTCTTTGGACGTCATCAGTTTTTTGGAGTTTCCTTTATTGTTGTTTCTTGCGTTTATAAGTTCGGTTACATGAGGTAAAGCTAGTTTTTTGTAATTGTTGTAATTTTTGGTATGTTGTTTACATATTTTATAGTGAGATCTTTTTCACCCTTTTTGATCCTTAGGGCAAGTTCGTCTCGCAGACCTTTTAGCTGATCTCTTTGGTACGGGGTCATATCTGAATAAACTCTAACGGGTTTACCAATTTTACTCTTGTTTTTTAAAATATCGGTAGCGGCGCGTTTATTCTCGAAGACGACTTTTATCGGACGTGGCTGTGAGGGGTTAACGACTGCCGGTTTACCTAGGCGAAACACATGCACTATCTTGGGGTCAGGGATTGGTATTGGATTGAAGGCGTCAGCTATCTTAGCTTTGTCGTAATCCTTTCTTTCCTCTGAAGAACATGATTTTAATTCCGGTATACCAAACACAATAACATTGCAACTACGCTTCCTTCTCTCCTCTATTTCATTTATAACAGTATCCAAGTTGACAATGGACGGTTGAGTGGTCTTCAGAACCTCGACCTCTTGTTGGAGCTCAGTAACCAATCTACGCAACTCTGGAACTTGTCTTAAACCGGTCTCACAGTCATTACAAAGATACGATAGTTTGTGCGTCTGAAGTCCAAAGACACGCAGTTCGGTCGCAGAAAGACCGTTGCATTTGTTACAAATGAGTCGGCAACACCCTTTGCAAGTTACTTTGACATTTTTCTCGTCCATTTTAGCAAGACACTTAAAACATTGAGACATGATGGGACTCTTTAATGTCAATATATTTATTTTATTTTTTTCTTTGTTTTTTGAGGGTAGGTCTTTTATAGCACTTTTAAATTACTAATTTTTAGAGTGTTACACAACAATAGCTATGTTTCCAATAGTTCTAGCACAAGTTAAAAGTTTTCTCCAAATCACATACACTTTTCACTACAATCGCGCGTATACAAACATTTTTCAATAAACATTCGAATATTATCTGCAACTGCAAAAAATATCAATTTGAGCGTTTCAAAATGTAATGAGAAAATAAATTCTAGATCAAGAGTGTTGAAAATTGCATTAACAAGTATTTTTAGCCAACCTGGGATTTGATTGCTTGCCTCCATAAATTTAAGATAGATGTATTATTATGTAAACGGAATAAAAACGTTTATTTTGCTCTGTTTGTTGTAACAGTTTCGTTTTTTATATTAATTGAATTATTGTCTAAACAATTTAGTTTATAAAGAATTTATAATATGCACTGTGCCCTGTAAATTTTTAAAAGATAAATAATTATAATGTAATTAAATGTTGCGATACTTATTCGTTGAGCCAGGAAAGTGACAGCTCCGGGGTCACCGGTACTATCTACTAGACGCCAACTTAAATCTTTAATAAGCAAATTTTTTATAAGTAATTATATTGAAATTTGATCCGCAAGACAAAATAATTCCTAACTATTATTCAACGTCATCGAGAGAGCTGCAAAATATACTCGAAGTATTGTAATAATGTAATAAATTCCCTTTTATATATTATTTTAATTCCATATACATGTAACCAAAGACAATAATTGTAATTAATAAATATTAAATGTATTTCAGGCTACTTATACTATCCAGAAAAGAACTTCTGCTGGCCGGCTTTCAGACGTGGTGCATGCTCCAGCGATGAGCACTTATTTTTACGTATCAACTCTGTGATACCAATCTGTGTCACCAATCCGTGCGTCGATGGATTTGTGAAGTGGAAGGGCAGATGCGAGCACCTCGGTTCGACAGGCCCCTGCCCAAACGAGTTTCCTCCCGCTGTTCTATGGATCAATGCTACAACAATTACAGTTGTAATGCTCTTAATTTTGACAACAGATACGATTTGTATACGTCAATAGAAATGTGTCTCCCGGGTTGTAAGAGACACGTACAAAGTATGTGTATGCCGCGTGTTATGTAAATATGTATTATGAGTATAAAGGAAAAAAATTGAGTTAATATTTATTGTAGTGTATAAAACGATGACTAATGATTTATAACGTATTGTATTTTGTAATTCCTTATAGAACCGCGTGCAAGTAGTCGTCTAGTCCGTTGCCATGACGACCGGAATGTTGTATACTTGCATCGAGCTTTGTTGTTCTCTGTGAATTTATTACATTCATTATTAATTAAGTTAATACGTTTATATGTAGAGATAACGAGTGATATAAATAAAATGATGATATGGAGATTATTGTTGTGGTAAGTTTTATGCAGACATTAGAATTTGAGCATAAAATCTATAATTTTTATCTGATAACGAATATCTTACAGTCGAATATATTATATTGTTTATCTTAAGGGTGTTTGGAATACATCCTAAATGCGAAAACGTATAAATGAACAGTGTAAGTGATAAAAGAAGGTTCGTTTGACGGAATCCCATTTTTCTGTAATATTTTTGAATAAATAATGAATGAAATTAATTTTTAATTTCACCTATTGTATTTAGTTGTAAAAATTATCTGTATTAACTAATAAATCTTTTGACCATGTATTTTTTATATTTTCAATTTAGATAACCCAAACATAATTAATTTCAATTTAACATCCGCATAGCAAGCGTAATTAGCCATTAACTTTTTTGCTAAAACTCATTTGGGTCAGTAGAAATAGAACGTGGTCCGGTGGTCTCACCTCAAGAAAGCCCGATTTGTTCAATTAATTTCCATATAATCGCAAGCTTGCTATCGCAATTGATCGGTGACCCACATTTACAAGTTCTCCAGTTCACCACTGCCCATCAGCCCTGATTAGCGACCCCTTTGATTACGACCTTCAATGTTTTTACGTCTAGAGATTGATGAAGAATGAAATTGTGATTTTAAGGTGTGTTGTTACCTGAATGTATGAAAAGTTCCCATTTTTTAAATTACAATAGTTGTGTGTTTTACAGTCTGCAGCTCTCAAAGGGGTGGATTTTATTTCGTGTTTCAAACATCATACAATAATATAAAAACTCTGCCACCTTATCTATGACTACGAGTTATATATAACAGTTTTACGTCTAATATTTAAATTTAAAGTTATAAAATGAAATAATGTAACTGCGCTTTATTTTTAAAGTGTTACTTTTCAAATTTCGTCTGTTCTAATATATCCCTGCTTATCTATTTTATAATAATAATAGTTTCCTGATTACAGTTAGACAACATTAATTTAATCATACAGTAAACTGTCCCTCAGGCGAATTATAGCAAGCGATAACTGGAAATTATACTAGATAACCTATTTCTTAAACGTTCTAGTTTTATTTGGTATTTAGGTTCTTATTCCGGCAAAGCGAACAGTCTCTATGGGGTAACATAGCAATCCATATGTTGAAGTTCGCAAGGCCAGCTGAATATAACATGGTTGGTTAGTTATGATGTTTTTAAATTTATTTATTAATAATTTAGGAATTAATTCACGAGAAAACCATGTATGACAGATTCAGATTTTGACATTTAATTTGTTAATATTTATTTCAAACCTATTCTCCATTGTGTCTGCGTATTTGAGTATTTACTTAAATTAATAATAAAACTTTAAACATAAATTCTTATATATTGTAAAGATGTATTCTCTTATTTTGAGCATAGCAATAATTATTACAATGAGTCAGAGAACCGATATGGGTAATACTGAGGCCATGACCATCTCGATGAGTAACATCTGATTATATGTTTGTTTTATTTATTTATAAGTTCTAAAACAACATTTGTGTTACGAAATAGAAAATATGACATCACAAATTTTACACACATACCCATCAATTATATTAAGCAAGCAAGCTAAAATCAATAACTGAAATATTATATTATTCCCATCACTACTTACTACACATATTGAACTATCTTCGGTTGCGGTACGAGATACAATCGATATCAATTTTTTTGGTATTTGTAGTTTATTCAAATCTCGTAACTGCGTGCGAACCTAGCAAAATATAAAGCAATTAGCTATGTTTCATCCACAAAAACATGTTCAAAATATATGTCCTTGTTTTTTTGGAAGATATAAATTATTTTCAAAACTGTATTTTTAGGAGACTGATTAGGTCTCAAACGCACCAAACGATAGGCTTGTTTCGAGATCTTTTAGGTCTCCAAAGCACCAGCAGAAAGTTCTTTGAAAATGATGGCGCAGTGAACGTGTTAATAGCTTAACGTTGTGGATTTTGGTAAAGATGAATAATAATAAAATATATAAACCAAGGTGTTTTGCGTAGAAATATTTAAATAAGATTCTAAACGAACCTCCTACCTCTTTCGTAAGTTATCATATTTTTGCACCTGTCAATGATGATAGGCAATTAGGTGTTCAACCTTCCGTGCCTGACACGCATCTATATCGTGCTGGTGTTTCAGTTTCGTTACCATAGAAAGAGAGGTTGGAACGCAGTCCTAGGAACTTATTGTTTAAACAAACAGATATAATACAAAAATACATGAAATAGTGAAGTTAGGATTGTCGAAGAAGAATGTTGAACAGTTCCTCCGACCTTCGGACTTCCCTCGACCAGTTTAACCACCGGCTAAATTGTATATAACCTTAGCATATAAAAAAAAAGATTGAAGGTATCTCGACAAACTTTAACTTAGGTTTTTGGATACCTAACTAAATAAAAAAAAGTGCGTGCGTACAAAGTACACATATCAGCATTTGGCAAACTAATTTTTAAGTCTTGTTCATATTTATACAAATCAATTATTTTATAAAAATAATTTAAAGCTCAAAGATTGACCTTTTAAGGGATAGTGCAGTATCTGCGAGAAGAGGAAAACAAACAGGCCAGATATGGGGCTGTTGCTATGGGAGGACTTACTGGATTCATATTTGGCCTGAGAGGTGGCTTTATTAAAGTAAGTATATACTTGGTGTATATGTCGCAGCCAACTTGCTTAATTGTCCGTGTAATTAACAGCCTAGCCTTTTAACTAATCGGCTCCGTTTAACTAGCGGCCTGAAAGATGATTGTTGTTGATGACAGTTGATCAAACAGCTAGGCAGATGACTTGGATCGATAACGTTTCATTACTTGGCTAGCCTGTTGACACTCTTCAAACTGTCGATATGGCGTCGGCATACCACAACTTTGGTGTTTTACAAAGTTAAATGAAAAACAACAAGTGCAATGGAACAGTGTAGTGACAATAATAATGTGAATTTGACTCAAGCAATTTAATTTTAAAAGAAATATTTTTTCATATGTTTCATCTTTTTTATTTCTGCCAAATAATGACTCTATCGTACAAATGGCCTAAGCATTGGCCAGCCAGTTTATTAAATGTTGTAACAAACGCTATGGCTGAATATCCTTCAGGCCGCTAGTTAAACGGCGACGTTTAGTTTAAAGTCTTGGCTGTTAATTGAACGGCTAACTGGGCTAGTTGGCTGCGACATATATACAACTACAATACATTTTTGCTATCTGCTAGTATAAATAGTTGTTTAGTTATTTACAGCAATAACCCTTGGAATAATAAATTCTGTCACTTTGCTTTTCACAAAGTATCATGTTAATCTAATAAAATTATTTTGACTTACAGAGAGTATTCTATGCCACTCTTGGCACAACATCCATGGGTTATGTTTGCTTCCCTGAAGAAACAAAGCAAATAATGAATGAAAATGGTACTCTAGCAAAACAGTATATTAATATTGCCTACAACTTCTTATATGGAAGTAACTAATAGAGAATAGATAGACTAGGTGACCGGCTCTTTGAAGGTCTTATTAGACTAGAAACATTGAATTTGGCGGGCAACCTTTTGTTCGAACTTCCAGACAATATTTTCGATAGATCGAGGGTGCATATGTTGGAATGTATTTCATTGAGTCACAATTTATTTGAACAAGCTCCTTTAAAGGCTCTACAGAAACAATATTTCTTTGTGTCCTCTGTTGACCTTTCAAATAATAATATTGTAGACATTCCAGCTGAAGATAGCGTTATGGTTAATATCAAAAAGTTAGATTTATCTTTCAATCCCTTATCGGAAAAATCTATTTTAAGTGTTTTAACTGAGCCAAAGACTGTAAGAGATTTAAACCTAGCCATATCTGTCGGTGATTAAACGTCTATAAATTTTAGATATTTTCTCGCGATAATGTGACTTCCTAGAGATTCGCAAAACAAACACACGCGACACACTTGCCGTGATTGATAGTGTCATTGTGCAATCAAGAGATAATGATGATCAACTGTGTAGTTGCACTATTCACTATTAATCAGCATATGATTTTACAAAAAAAACTGTTAACGGCTAACTTGAAGTCTCAATTTAATTTAATTATGAATACTAACTCACAAATAAATGGAAAATTAAAACAAATTAAAAAACTTTGGTCCCTGTGGCAATGTTTTTAAATGTGATTGATAGCTTCGAGACGTTTACGTAACGATGAATATATTTTTATACAAATAGTATAGTATATTAAACGGCACGGCGTGCCTGTATAATTTCAGTGCCGTCTTGAGAGCCTCTAGGAAAAAGGCACTCATGTACTGAGGTCTTCCATTTCGTGTGTTGACCGCTATCTTCGTTTATCGAAACTATATTAATAATAATTATTATATATTTGAAAACACCTGTTAACTTTAATTACTATTAAAAACTTTAATTTTTTACAACTTTTGAATTTGGAACACGTATTTATTTTTAAAACTTCTTCACATATTTTATTAATTATCAAATTACAGGATATTCCCTAAATTAATATTTACAACTAAAGAGAGTGGATCGATCAAAACAGCTGTCTTGTCTAGCTTTGCTTATATAACTTCTTTGTTAGTCAATAATATATTGCTCATTTCTCTTTTTGGTCACAACCACCACCACCATCCTGGTGAATTGGTTTATGTATTGATTGGGACCCACGCAGATAATCTGCCAACAATCGGCCGAGCTACGCTCGCCAAAACAGCTCGAGCTGAACTGTAAAGGCCCTTAAAGCCGACCAAATTAAAAAAAAAACACAAAATTGCTCGTCTGTAAAGTCGGTTTATGGACGATAGTTTAACGTGTCAATGTCATGACAAAACCTTGATGAAATGATTGCATACTTTTATGAATAAAATTGAATAATTGTTAATGAATTATCACTGTTTTGTATGGAAACAAAGGAGTGAATCCTCCGACGCATAGGCCAGAGTCATGAGTCATGGTTTTTCGTGCGTGCAGCTGGCGTTCATCGATTTATTGGACTTTGTCAAAAAAAAAAGCGGATAATCTGAGACGGTAGCTAGATTTTAATCAAAACGGCAATTGGGACTTACATAATAACCTGTGTAATTCATATTATTAAGCGTTTTCTTCAAACCCTGAGGTCGAAGATTTGATCCCCAATGGACTTTCTATGTGTGCAATAAACATTCGTGAACGGTGAAGGAAAACATCGTGAGGAAACCGGCTAGTCTTAAACCAAAAACGACAGCGTGTGTCAAGCACAGACATCTGAGGCTCAGTCTTAGGATTAGGATTTATTTCATTTGTTTTTATTTTATTTATATTGGGTAATATATGTTTGTCGGACTATTTATTTTAAATATTATATCTTGCTAACATATGAGCCGGGTACGTTTATGAGGGCATGTGTTTCCCCATCTTCTTACTACACCAAAATGGAGTCAACAGTTTAATTTGAAGCAGAGACAAACTTCTTTAAGAAAGATAGTATAAACATAAATATTGTCATTGATTTAAGCGAGTACTACAATTTTTTTTTGGTATTTTAATATTTTACAAAACTTCCCGACGCTTGTCGTGGGCCTTATCTGATTACATGCTTTGCATACTTATCTAGTGGATAGTCTAGAGGACTGGGTTGTATTTTTTCCAATTTTTCCACAATAGGCGAGTGAACATATATTGATCGTATATAGAGTGAATGTATAATTTTTCAGTGTAACTTGTAATTTAATTTTTGTTGATTTGAGTTGATATCACTTAAAACTAAGTGTTTCCTTTTTTAGTTATTTTCGTTACTAGGGCTGCCTGGCAGAGATCGCTTGATACGATAAGACCGTTGCATTACTAATAATTTATGTCACTTGTTTTTATTTGTAATGTACCGAAGTTAAAAAAAAAATATAACTGCCAATGTTTTCTTACAGCTTGGGATACCACTGTCCCATCACATATAATCCAACTGACTACTTTATCAAAGTGTTGGCGTTGACACCTGGCTCGGAAGGTGCATCAAGACATGCCATTAAGAGCGTCTGTGATCGGTTCGCGGTCAGTGATGCTGCTAAGGAACTGGACATAGAGATACATCTTGAGTTCCACCTAATAGATAATCAAGATGAGGTAAGAAAATATACATCATTCAGTCGATCGACACTAGAATAAGAACCATAGTCGAGACTTAGCGCTGATTATGGTACCTGTATGTCAAATTCAAAACGTTTTTGACACTTTATAACGTTGACGTTATGTAAAGGCCGGCAACGCACTCGCGCATTGAGGATGTCCATGGGCGGCAGATAAAACCTGATGTTATCACTTAAAATCAGGTGAGCCTCCTGCCCGTTTGCCCCCTATTTTATTAAAAAAACTTAGCACTAAATCTCGACTGAATGTTCTCATAATTGTTATTTTAAAAAAAATATATAAAATAGGATATAAAAGCGTTTTACTGTTATATTTTTTTAAACTTTAACAATTGTGCCAACAGTATGGTCACGAGTTAACGTATATAAAAATTGTAAAAGAGTATTTTTAAATTTGTCAGTAAAGAAAAAGTTTTAATTCATAAGAGTCTTAGAGAGTTTATAAGTAGGAAATAATATCTTTAGACACATTCCTTCGATTCGGTGGATTTTAAACATATTATAAAAATAAGTACTCATTCATACATAATTTAATTATAAAGTTTTTCATTGCGTCACATATATAATGACCATCTAATGTCCTCAATTAAGTTCTTAATCATTTATCAAACGATTTAACATTTAATTCCATTCAGTCATAACTTGAATTCCAGACACGCATTGTTCTCTGAATACACTTTCTTATAATTAACAATCGCAGATAATTCATTACGTTTCATGTGTAATCTTTTATAGTCTTGTAAAATCTTTATCGTGCGGCCAATATAAATGGATTGATTGGTCAATTGAATACTGTTAGCTATTTGTATGATCCGAGGACATAATTGGAACAAAACGAAAGCAGGAAGATTATTCGCATAGAATGGGCAACATCTCATTATTTTCGGCTTTATACGATGACTGTTGAGTATATAATACTTCTTACGGACAGTCATGAGCCGCAAAGATAATTTCATATTGATTAAATTTAAGATAATTATTTATGAAATATTTTTTTTATGTAACTCAAAAATTGGTGTCTCTTTATCAATCTGTACACTTTTCTGATCGTTCAGAAAAGTACCTGTTGAAGTAAGTAACTTCAGAAACTGTACCTCTTTATAATATTAGTAAAGAATTCGACATGAGCCACTGGGGCCTTTGGGCTTGTCAGCGGTGAGAGAGGTCGAGGTTAAAGGAAGTCACTACCTAATGGAAGGATTCCTTAGGTTAGAGAAATACCACACTTTCCCTTCGTCCACAATTAATTTTATTAATACGATAAAGAAGTATTTTCGTAGCCTTTCAGCCGACTCAGAAATTAAACGACTGACCTATCTCGAATCTGTTATATCACAGATTACATATATAAAAACCCCATTAATATTCAACACACTTCAATTATATTCGCTGTATCAATGGAAATTTATATTATGTTAATATTTCAATAAAATTGCAATAATCGTACATATTATGATATTCTTGATATCTATCGACAATCAACATCGAGTAGCTATTTCTTATGACTAAGATTGTGTTATTAACTAAATACATAAATAAAATAGCACCGCCATTTTGTTTTATCTTTTTTTCATTCTTAAACTTGTAACACGTTGACACACTAGAGCAGTGTTGGCCTAGTGGCTTCAGCGTGCGACTCTCATCCCTGAGGTCGTAGGTTCGATCCCCGGCTGTGCACCAATGGACGTTTTTTCTATGTGCGCATTTAACATTCGCTTGACCGGTGAAGGAAAACATCGTGAGGAAACCGACATGTCTTAGACCCAAAAAGTCGACGGCGTGGGTCAGGCACAGGAGACTGATCACCTACTTGCCTAGTAGATTGAAAAATGATCATGAAACAGATTCAGAAATCCGAGGCCTACCACACCCCTATCGAGGTTGTGAGGCCACTAATTATTATTATTATTAAACGTGTTACAAGTTCAATCTATCAGTTTCGACTTTTGACAATTGACATGGTTAAATGTCGTATACATTGGGACTTGTTATTTTTAAACGACGTCCAAAACTGAAGAAGTTTATCAATTCGATGTTTTATTTTTTTGTTAAAATCGGCTTAGAAATGTCGTTTGCTTGAAATTAGTTTTAGATCGTTATTTGGTTAATTTTTAGTGGTTAAAATCGTAACACGAGATGTCTTTTGTAATATGAACCTAATACAAGCCGTACGAGCACAGTCCTAATTCCTAAACCCATACAGAATGTTGATAAAATTGTTACACCTAAACGCTACCGAATGTATGTATTCATTACAATAATTACAGTACTTATAAATAAAGCTGGAAAGGGTATTTGCATAATTATGTATACCAGTGTTACATCGCATATCACCTTATACATAATATGTGTAAATGTATTAAGTTAGAAAAGATAATAATATAATATAATCAAAACAACACATTAAAATACTTTTGTTCAGTCATATTATGTTTGTAATTTAATATTTAGTAATAAAGTAGATTCAACGCGAAGCAGACGTTTCATTGCACTAAAATTATACTTAATAGTTCACCAGTCAAAAAGCAACCTTATCGCCGCAACATATGGTCGCAATCTCGCCGGATCTTGTGTCTACTGAGCTGCATCGAAGGAACAATAGACTACGCATTCCATTGCGATAAGGAACACGTTTAGCAACTATTTTGTGCAATTTTTAGACTTATAACTTGTGAATAATATTGAAATAGAACGTGCAAGTGACTTTAAGTGAGGATTATGCCAAATGTGGAACAGTTATTAAGTGTACTTGAAAATAATAATGAACTATTAAAAAAGACTCAAATAAATATTAAAAAATGTGCAAAGGCTAGACTTACGAAAGGTTATCTACAAACACGGATGGAGTGTATAGAAAGTTACTGGAAGACGTATAAAAGTGCACATTTAGATTTAATAAAAATTACGCCGCGTGAACAAAAGTCAATTTTACCATATTTTGTCAATGAGGATTATTATTTGATCGAGGATTTATATTTATGTATGGTGTCTGACATCAGGGATATGTTAGAAGGTTTTGAAATTCAAAGAGGACAACAATCCTGTAATCAGGGGAACGGCTCCACTGCAGTCGAACACAACGTACAATCACAGGTTCGACTCCCGCGCATTGAATTACCTACTTTTTCGGGTAATTATGAAGAATGGCCTTCTTACAAAGATATTTTTGTTGCACTGGTACCTACATGATAACACGTCACTATCTAATGTTCAGCGACTACATTATTTGAAATGCAGCATAACAGGTGAAGCAGCATCCTTATTAAAACACATCCAAATCACGGAATCGAATTACTTATCTGCTTGGGAGACTCTAAAACTTAGGGTGAGATCTATAGTGCGCACTTAGACTTTGCTCTGACTTAACTATCGAGCTAAGACACAGTCGGTATTTATAGAGCAAACTGCGAATCTCTCCCTAGTGTTGGCTTAGCTTAATCTCAAGTCCACGAAATCGACGACTTACCAAAAACTTTGACTATAAGCCTAACAAAAATAATGGCCCAAAATTTGCTTTACCATCATATCTTTTACTGGACTTTTTATTTTTGTCGGTTTTTAATGAACGGTGTTGCCATTTTGTATCGGAGTTCCATAGACTTTGGGAAAAATAGAATTTGAATTCAAAGAAATTATAAATGATCTTGATAAATACCTATGAAATGCATGAAATAAAATAATTACACATTATTATGGTATTTATTGTTGTTTATTTATATTATTTATGTAATTGTTCAAACCCCATTTTTGAGAAATCTTAAAAATAACTGGTGTGATTTTGTATGTCACCTGGCAGCCCTGGCATATTATAGTGACAACGAAATTCAAACCATAACCTAACCGATGTCTCTCGCTTCACATCTGTTATTTTCGTTTCCCTGATCTTCTACCATTTATTACCTGACTACCCTAAAAAATTTGAGATAGGAGTGGAACATATGAAATTAAAAAATCTGTTAGAAATAGAATTTCTTCAACAAAAATATAAATTAGTATTAGAAATATGTATTACACTTAAAAAAAGAATCAGAAAATAAATGATTAAAATGAAACAAGTTTTGTTTTGATATTCTTTATTACCAAACAAATTACCTAGTTAAATTGTGCAATCACAGATTGCCGGAATGCTAGACCTGTAGGAGATCTTTCATTGTTTCTGTGCTATAATTATATATAACTAGTATTTGTCAATTTTGACTGTAGTCCTAGCTGTAAACATGGAAATTTCCTTTTTCACACTCCGAAAAACCTTTAAAAAAATATGCCTAGTTCTTATTTGAGAATAATTATAAATATTGTCAGCTCTTGTCATTGGATTTAAAAGTGTTGTTAACATGAAGTTAAGTGCTGGATAACCGCTGTCACCTACTAAAACAGGCATTTTCTAAATATCCTGCTGTCGTGTGAACTGCCAGGCCACCTAGTCACTATAGCAAATATTTCCATATCAGGCCCTATTATTGCTTGCACATTTACAGAAAAAATACCCTTTTTATTTCTGTATGCTTCAGAGTGAGCGATACCTTTGGGTCTATTAATTTTTATATGGGTGCAGTCAATAGCTCCGATTATACTGTTTAGGCCATGGGGAGTATTAGATCTTCCTAATTCTTCAAACTTCGTTTTGGCTGTGTTCATATTTCTTGGAAAATTTACAAATCTAGGAAGTAATTTACTCAACTCTGCAGAGACTTTATTTATAATTAAACAGACTGTAGATTGGCTTATGCTGTTCAGATCACCACACACCATCTGTAATGTCAATAAAGTATTATTAGTCACATATATGTTATGTTTGAAAGTCAGAAGACAAAAGTCTTCAACATATGTACTATTTAAAATCATTTGAGAAGAGGTATAATATATCAAATTGAAAAACCATACATATTTATGAACACAATATTACCTGAAAACATCCAGTTGCATTTTTATGCCTTAATGCAATAAGTATTTGCAATTGCGGTAGGTTTGGCGATCCTCTGTTGTTATAAGGTTGCAAGTTTGTAATGATCAGCGTCA